TCAAGGTGGGCTGGTAATGTTTAACCACCACTTGGAGTGTTGTGACCAATGTGTCCCACAGAGCTTCCCTTAATCCTCTGTCAAGGCACAGCCCAGAGAAATCTCACATCTCAGGGACTCTCTGGTTTGTAAATAGCTGTGGGACCCCAACATTACTGCTTATTTGCTTAATATCTGGCACTGCTATTCATAAATCACAATATCTACCCATTAACATCTGCACATATAAAACAAAATAATTTCCTTCTGAAGACATCGTGAAATGACTAATTACAATTCACTTCTTGTTCACAGAAGACCCTCCCCACAACCATTTCTTAAGGAATTCCAACCTGTGTTTATCTTCTTGAGAAACAAGAGGATGCTCACACCCATTCCCTTAATTCTTATCTTTCACTTCTCTACTTTTTTTTTATTATGCTTTATTTTCTTTATTGGTTCATAATTTCACAATGACAACAGAAAAAGAGATAGAACTGCACAAGAACAAAACAGGAACTGAAAAGAAGTGCCATTCCAGTGTGATTACACAGCCACGTCAGTTTGCTCTGCTCTAAATCAGATTATGACAAGGATTTTATCCGTAAACTAACGCCAGTGATGATCTCCTTGACCTAGCCTTACTGAACTGCAAGGTGGTGGCTCTTTATGGTCCCATCTGGGGTAACAAATCTGTAACCTAACTGATGGATTTGTAAACTGATTACTCTCTTAGGGTATATCTACACAGCAGTGTTATTTTGGAATAACTTATGTTATTCCGAAATAACGTAGTGCATGTCTACACTACAAGCATGTCTACACTATATTTATTTTGAAATAGTGTCAAGCTGAAGGGCTTCCTACTCCTCCTCATGGTAACCCTCATTTCACGAGGAGTAAGGGAAGTCAAAGGAAGTATGTTCTTCCTTTGACTTCCTGCTGTGTAGACAGTGCCAAAAGCTGAATTAAGCTATTTCAATTTAAACAATGTAATTGACATAGCTGAAGTTGCGTAGCTTAATTCAACTTTTGCCCAGCTGTGTAGACTGCAGCGGTCAATAAGGATTCTGTCTCCAGAGTGTCTTCAGCATCCGGAAAATTATCATCTTACATGATTATCTTCCAAAATTTCCAGATCATTAGAATGAAAGGTCTGAGGAACACACAAAAAACAACTACAATTTTTCACAAGTTCCTTTATTTTCAGATACATTAAACAAATAAACAAATCACAGAACACTGAGGTTCAACAGCAGATAGAAAAACAGTGAAAAGTGGTTATCCCTATGACCATGGCTCACCGAACTGCGGTGAGCCCTGCTCGCCAGCCGTGCTGTCTGGTGATCTGCGCATGCGCAGATCGCCAGAACCAGGTTCTTCTGGGTTGCAATCTACTCGCCACGGGTGAGTAGACTGTATTATTTGTCGAGCCCTGCCTATGACTATCCTCACTCATATCTCTTACTGGGGAATCCTGGACTGTCAGTCATTATCTTCCTCCTCCTCCTCCGCCTCCTCCTCAGGAGAGAGTGTCAATCTGGTGTCTTCCAAGGCACACAGGCCCGGATACAGCCTTTATAATGTGTTGTTCTGACACCCACTTCAGTTTGTACATATTTATTGAAGGTTTTTAACTCCCTTTCTTTATCTATACTTCCACTGCCCACTCAGTATCAAGTGGCCACTTTTATAGACTAACTTGTTAGTTCTTGTACTTATTAATATTTATGTCACTCAGTCACCATAACAACTTGCTGTTAGCACATTGCTGACACCTTATGTTTGCAAAAATCCCAATAATATTCTATTGGGCTTTAGTTGGCACTTGCTATATATATTTCCTAAATAACAGCACTTAGCACAGCTAAATTTCATCTCATAACATAAACTTTAGTTTTCAGAATGGAGAGAGGTAACTAGTGGTATCCTCAAGTGGTCTGTACTGGGACCAATTCTATTCAGCATATTCATAAATGTTCTGGAGAAAGGGGCAAACAATGAGGTAGCAACATTTTCAGATGAAACAAAACTGCTTGGGATAGTTAAGTCCAAAGCAAACTGAGAAGAGCTTCAAAAGGATCTCATAAAAGTAGGTGACTGAGCAACAAAAATGACAGATGAAACTCAATGTTGATAAATTGAAAGTAATGCATACTGGCAAGCATAACCGTAACTATACATATAAAATGATAGGAACTAAATTAACTATTACGACTCCAGAATGAGATCTTGGAATCATTATGAATAGTTCTCTGAAAATATCCACTCAATGTGCAGCAACAGTTTTTTTTTAAAAAAGCAAACAATGTTAGGAATAATTAAGAAAGTGATAGAGAATAAGACACAGAAGATTTTATTGCCTCTGTTTAAATCCATGATACTCCCACATCTTGAATACCATACGCAGATGATGTTGTCCCCTCTAAAAAAAAGTTATTTTGGCATTGAAAAAAGTTCAGAAAGGAGAAACAAAAATGATGAGTGGTATGGAACAGCTGCCATATAAAGAGAGATTAATGAAACTGGGACTTTTTAGCTTGGAAAAGAGACAACTAACAGGGCATGATAGGGGACTATCAAATCATGACTGGTGAGGAGAAAGTGAATAAAGAAAAGTTATTTACTCCTTCCCATAACAAAAAACCTAGGGGTTACCAAAAGATATTAATCAGTACCAGGATTAAAAATTTAAAAAAAAAGGAAGTTCTTCACACAACACAACACAGTTGATCTGTGGAAATACTTGTAAGAGGGTGTTGTGAAGACCAAGACTATAACAAGGTTAAAAAAAAGACCTAGACAAATTTGTGGTCTATCAATGGCTATGAACCAATATGGGCAGGGATGGTTGTAGCCAGACAGGAACCCCCTTGTAACATCCATTTTTGCTTGCCTGGAGCATACAGGGCACACAGAGCAGAAGGCCCAGGCTGTGTGACCGTGAATGGCTGTAAACAGAGATACGCCAATTGCTGACCAAGAGGCTGCCAAGGAGTGCCCTTGACTGAAACCCATATTGATACGAACACACATCCATCCGCGGGGGGAGGAATCTCTCGCCCAGTAAAAAAAATGTCTAGTATTCACAATTTAGTTATCTCTCTTGCAAGTGTAAATTAACTTGAAACTTGCTTGTAAGAACTGGCGCCACAAAATGGACCAGTAGAATTCGGCATCTTAGATAAGAAAGAGGATACGGGCCCCCAGGGGTATATAGATGGGTCCAGCAGCATATTTTCTCTGAGTGTCAATCTACCATCTATCTGCTGGTCGGGTTAGGTGTTTGATCTCCCGAGGTTCCAAGGGGACGCCCACCTCGTATTCGTCTTTCCTAGGAATTGAGAGACCGGCCCTGGCCTGACACGCTGGAGTCGAGAGGCACAGAAAGGGGTAAAAATTGTACCTGGATGTGGTCCTTTGTTTAAGTATATATATACATAGACTTAGAGCTCTTTAAAGATTAAGCTGTCACTTGGTACCATTATTTCTATTTTCTATCTTTATTTTCTTTGTAACCATTTTTAAAATCTGTATTTGTTAGCATTTAAGAAATAGAGCAATAGCCATTGTAACCATATGCTTTTATAAGTCTTTTAATAAACCTGTAACTGTTTAAGCTTTAACCTGACTCCTTCAGTTGCTGTAACAGAACCAAGCACAATTTAAAAGAACTTCAGCCGGTCATAAAGGGACAGACATAGGGAGAGCTTGGGCGTTTGGATCTGTGTCGCTCCCAGGTGACAAGATCCATTGGGGCACCTTTCCAGCCTTTCCCAGGCTGCCCGCTGCGAAGGAACTTTGTGTTCTAGCAGTTAAAATCTAAGGTGTAATAAGCTCTTCCTATATAACGGGGCGTCTGTTGGCCTGCTGGCCACCCTCTACGATGGGACCCCGGTCCTAGCAGTAAAGACACAGACGTTAAACCTTTTCTCGGAAGCATATACACACACACTGCTCTGACCGTCGGCTGACAATGGTGTCCTTATTTACAGTTTGTCAGAAGCTGGGAATGGGCAACAGGGGATGGATCAATTGATGATTACTAGTTCTGTTCATTTCCTCTGGGGTACTTGGCATTGGCCACTGTCAGAAGACAGAACACTGGGCTAGATAGACCTTTGGTCTGACCTTGTATAGCCATTCTTATATTCTTAGGCTAGCATGAGTAACTAAATGATAAGTCATCTTATCATTAGATCTGAAGTTTTCACTGGCTAAGCTAAATGTTTTACAGGCTCGAGGCCTGCAGGTCCTGAATAACAACATTACTTAACATTTAAATTAATTAATATTTCTATATCCTAAACATACAGGATATATTTTATTATTGGATGCAACCCTCCTATAACACCCATATTACTCTGCTACTACACACATTCTCCAATATTGCCCATCATGTTCCTCCCACTCCCCTAATTGTTATCCCTTCCTACCTACCTGAGCCCTCCAGCTCCTCTTTGCTACCTTACCACCCATTCCATTCATCCCCTCTCATAATATCTCTAACCCTCAATAGACACAAATCTTTCTCCCTCATTCCCAGCTCAACACGCCTCCCCTCCCCAGTGAACATCTGCATATGTAATTAGCTTTTCAAGAATTTCAGCACCTTCTGAATATTCCATTGTGCTCAGATTTCTTTAAAAAAAAAACAGAAACACACACCACACAACTTGACAGTGACAGATTTTTCCTAAATGTTTACAGTTCATTCTCGGATGTCTCTCCAGATGGGTTACAAAGTTGCTAGAATCTATGAACTTGGTAAGATTTTTTTTCTAGGTGGCAGTAACTCAGGGGCCCCTTGTTCAAATGACCCCATGTTTGTATAACTAACCCGACCCTAGACTCCCATAAGGTGTAGCAAAGATGGGTATTCCTGCCCCCTCAGATCCTGGCACACAATATTCAACCTGCAGCTTTGTTAAACCAAGTAGCTCAAGAAAGAAAGGACATGAGCAGTTAAAACATAAAACTAGATTCTGAACAGAGGTGTGACAGTTTAGACTGAAACATACCTGGCATGCAGATGGATGATTGTGATGGAGGTCCCATTGGGAAGATACTATGTCAACAGACTTTTCTGCTATATTCAGCAAATTCATCCAGCCTTGAAAAAGAGACAAGTGGGATGGTGCACTGTCAGAATAGTTTACACCTTCGGGAATGTTTTCCACAAGAGCAACCCTAGGAAGAGAAGGGGGGGGGGGAAGACATTTAATAAACCACTTAAAAAAATCTCTCATTCCATAAAAGTATTTTTAGTTTGGTGGACTGTTTATCACACTTGTGATTTTGAGTCATCACATGCGCTCCAAAAAACAAGTCTCAGGGTATGTCTACACAGCGGGGCTTAACTCAAAATAAGCTATGCAATTTGAGCTGCGTCAATTGCATAGGTTTTTTTGAAATAGCTTATTTTGTAGTTGGGAGCATCTACACAGAATTGATTTTGAAATAAAGCACTCTTCCTCCGACTTCCCTTATTCTTTGTACAATGAGGGTTACAGGAGTCGGAGTAAGAAGTCCTCCAGCTTGACAGTATTTGGACATTATTTTGAAATAACACTAATGTTGCTGTGTAGACATATCCTCAGTCAACTCACTAAAGGTTGGTCTAAACTACAGCTGGGAAAATGCTTCCCAGCACTAGTAGACTGACTTACAGCAGCTTTACTTGAGTTAGCACAGTAAAAATAGCTGTGTAGCCAGGGATTGCTCAGATGTCAACTTGGGCTAGTTGCCTGAGAGTGTACCCAGAGAATCTGGACATGTTTGTACTCAGGTGGCTAGCTCATGGCTCCCTGGCTACACTATAATATGTAGTGCACCACCTCAAGCAAAGTCAGCACATGTTTGTCTACCGACACAGGTGGGCAGTATGGACACACCCTAAGAATTGCTAGTGGTCAGTACTTCTCAAGATCAGTAAACATGGATGTGAACAGTATTTAATCCAATATAGTTAATGAGATTTCTGAAGTTGTTATTGTAAGCTTCAGAGGGGTACCTGAGTTAGTCTACAACAGGAAAAACTTAAAAAACAATAAACAGTCTAGTAGGATTTCAAAGACTAACAAAATATGTAGATGGTATCATGAGCTTTCGTGGTCACAACCCACTTCTTCAGATGACCAGAGTTTTGGAAGTTTCTTGGATCTGGACTTTCAACACTGAGGTCATCTGAAGAAGTGGGTTGTGCCCACGAAAGCTCATGATACCATCTACATATTTTGTTAGTCTTTGAAGTAATGTAATCCTACATACACAACTGGCTAATTAACTCTTAACACAGTAGGAATGAGTACATTCATCTTAAGGATATTAATCAATTAAACTCATCTCCCATCTCCATTTTACCCCACCACCAGTACCATCTCCCACCCTCTTACTTGAGCACTGCTTCTCTTATATGCTCCCCTGCTCCATTTGGAAGACACATACTCCCCAGCACCCTTACCTGCCCTTACAACTGTTCTTTTTTTCAGGTGCTAGGCTCAGATTAGTAAGTCTCCATTACTAGTTTCTGCTCTCAGCCACCCACCCTGCTTGTTTATCTACAGGATGCAGTGATCAGGATCCAGCAGCAAAGAAAGGCAAGTCAATACTTGTATCTCATCTTGTGTCTTTTCCTCTTTTTGCACCTACTTCTTTTGGGAAACTCCCTTGAAATTGTTTTCTATAGTCTGCCTGCCACTTGCAAATTACATGTCTCTGCATATCCAAAAGTGTGGCAATCACTGCTCTAAACAATTGTTCAAGACAGATCACTCTCTGTCAGGCAATTAATTCAGCGTACAGCTTCACTTTTTGATTTCCTCAGATTGAAAACTTTAGCAAATTATAAAGCCCTTCTTTTGAAAAAAATAGTTTATTTGAAACAGATCCAATTATGTTCTTTGATAAACAGCTGAGTTTTTTTAATTGGGACACAGAGGATATGAAAGTAGCTGAACAAGCCCTCTTGAGGGAAATCCCCAAAATAATTAATTCTTGGCAATTATGACTCTTTCCAATAAAAAACATAGAGCCTCAATCTTTGTTTCTGTTCCAAATCGTGATCCAACAGCATTCCAATGCAAGAGGACAAGGAACTCTTTGGTATCTGATTGTTTTAGATTCTTGACCAGTTCAAGGTACCCAACTCACTTATGTCATAACTGTATCTAAAAAGTGTCATGTAAGAGATCAATTGAAAGTGAACATATTAATTGTTAACATTATTTCAGGATATAATGTACAAAGGACAAATTCAAAATTACAAACATAATGGAAATCACGTTAGTAAAGCATGCCTGCCAGATGGGACTAAAAATTACCCTTCCCTACCCAAAGGAACAGTGTTCTGCCACCTCGAAGACATTTTCCAAGGTATTTAATTATATAGAAGGTAAACAAAACCATCAAGCCAAAAAAGAGAGAGGAAACAATCACTCA